GTAACAGCCCTGTTAGTCTGTATTCTCAAAAAGAAAAGGAGTACTTGTGGCACCTTAGAGACTAACCAATTTATGTAGCTCACGAAAGCTTATGCTCAAATAAATTGGTTAGTCTCTAAGGCGCCACAAGTACTCCTTTTCTTATTCCGGGTATGTGTGGGCCAGCCCAGGAAGAATGGAGACTAAGGGTCTCACAGGACATGTGATCATGTCACCCAATGCTGGAATCCTTCTTAAATCTGGTACTTTTCCATTTAGAAAGAGGGGTGGGACCCAGAGAGACAAAAGATTCCCACCTTGTGCCAAAGCTATAAAAAGAGGTGAAGCAGGACAAAGAGGAAGGCCAGTCATGAGAAAGCCTCTGCTTACCACCTAAGGTGTCTGCTGGAACTAACAAGGACTGTACCAGGGGAAAGGAGTGGGCCCAAACTAGGAAGGAGTCTAGTCTGTGAAAGAAGCTTATTGGAACATCTCTGAAGGTGAGATATTACCTATAATCAGTTTCTTAATGTTTTAGGCTTAGACTTGCGTGTTTTGTTTTATTTTGCTTGGTGACTTACTTTGTTTTGTCTGTTATTACTTGAAACCACTTAAATTCTACTTTTTATACTTAATAAAATCACTTTGGTTTATTAATTAACCCAGAGTACATGATTAATACCTGGGGGAGCAAACAGCTGTGCATATCTCTCTATCAGTGTTATAGAGAGCGGACAATTTATGAGTTTACCTTGTAACAGCTTTATGCAGAGTAAAACGGATTTGTTTGGGGTTCGGATCCCATTGGGAGATGGGTGTCTGGGTGCTGCAGATAGGTAACCTGCTGAGCAGTTTTCCGTAAAAGTCTGAAGCTTTGGGGCATGGTCCAGACCCTGGGTCGCTGTTGCAGCAGGCTAATGTGTCTGGCTCAACAAGGCAGGAGTTCCAAGCTGGAGTTCCAAGCTGGCAGGGAAAACGAGTTCAGAGGTAATTTCAGGGGCTCTCTGTGACCGAACCCATCACAACGATTTACACTGAGGAACAGAAAGGATTATTCACAGGATGCTCAAAACAACCTACGCAACCGACAAAGGACGCATTGTGCTTTTGAACAGCCAGATTCTCACAAAGGCTTAGCACCCAGTAGCCACTGAGGGCAATGGAAGCTGCCAGGTTCCTGAGCTGTTTTGAAAACTGAGCGTCTTCGCTGAGGTGCCTCAATGGAGCTGAGCACCTTTGAAAATCTGCCCCTGGGGTCTTTCCTTATGCACTATAGATTTCACACTTCACCTGAAGCGCTGCTATCCACTGACCCATAGCATGATGTGATCTTTGCTTGGAGTGTCATTAATGGGTGTGGGGGAAAGGCAACCTGGAGTATAGTCAAATGCAGTGCTCTGTGGACAGTGAAAGAAGAAACCTCCTGCATCCTTTCTGCCTCTCCACCTGCCTTTCCAGGTTCCCCAACCGGAGCCAAGCAGTCCTCATCAGACAGGTCCGAGTGCCTCGTCGGGATGATGTAGCAAGGCCCAGCCGTACACTCTATGCTTTAATAAAGCTGTCAGGGTTGACATGCCAGTATCCACCGCTTCTCCCTTTTCCCTCCCTCTCAAGCAGGATGGAGGGATTATGCAGATGAGCCGCTACATTGTGTCTGGCTGGGAAACATTGTCCTGAATGCTTGGCATATTCTGAATTCGTTTCTATAGCCCTGAATGCCCACAGCTATGAACCGTCTTGAAGGGATAAACACCTTAACAAAGCTGTTTAGCAGATCCACTAAATGGTTCTGGCAGGCACAGACGTTTCCCTGGATGGGAGAATGTGTGCTCGCTCTTTTTTTCACCCCCTCTGCCTTCAAACCTTTGAAGTTTTATTCATGCTGTGTGCAAAAATAAGATGCATGATTAGAGCTCATGGTCTCTTAAAGCTACCCTGCTCCTTTCATGCAAGCAACTGATTTCGGGCCTTGGAAAGCCAAATCTCCCATTTGCCAATGACATAATGAACCATAAAAAGAAAAGGAGTACTTGTGGCAACTTAGAGACTAACCAATTTATTTGAGCATGAGTTTTTCGTGAGCTACAGCTCACGAACGCTCATGCTCAAATAAATTGGTTAGTCTCTAAGGTGCCACAAGTACTCCTTTTCTTTTTGCGAATACAGACTAACACGGCTGTTACTCTGAAACCTGTCATAATGAACCATTGCGCTTGACGCCTCTCGTTTGTCTCAGTGTGAGCATGTAGGAAAAAGGAAAAATAGACGTGCTTTGTTGCCGGGTTCAGCATGGAAGTTCCGTTCTGTGGTGTGGAGGCCTCATCTGGCCCTCCCTGAAAAACCCCTTGAATTTAGCTCTCTCTCTTAGTGCATTGTGCCAGGGCCCATCATTCGAGTGGGACTGGCTGACACCAACATAACCCAACACAGGGAGAGGAAAAAATCTCATTCACTGGACGCAACAGGTCAGTTTCTTGTTTGAGATGGTCTAGAACATCGGTCCACCAGTAGGAACCTGCAGTTTGGGGCCTTTCTCTCAACTGAGTTCTGATCAGACCAATGGACAAAAAGGCTCACACCAGGCATGTTAACAGAGGAGGGTGGCACCAGAGAGCTGATGGTATTTCCCCTGTCTGAATAATGAGTGCAGATTGGGCCCTTTAAATAGTAATAGTCCTTAGCACTTACTCAGATCTGTTAATCTCAAAGCAAGTCAAATGTCATTATTCCCATTTTACAGATGGGGAAACTGAGGCACGGAGTGGCAAATGGGGCCAGGTTGTCTTTTGTTGACGGCACTTAGCCTTTGGTGACAGCAGCTGCAGTTAGTTTTCCAGAATCTTTACCTTAAACACCAGAGGACAAATTCTGCTTCCAGCCCTGTTACCTATGAGCCACCCCAGCAGTGTACAGCGACTGACACTGTGCCATAGACAGGTGGGCTAGAACTGCCCTAGTGAAGGCACAGCAAAGTGCTGAGGTAAGCAGCCCTCAGCAGGCCCCCTTGGAAGCCGCAGTGCTGGGGGCTTGCTGGAGGTGGGGCTGAGAACAGGAGAGGATGTGTTAGGCTGGGTTGGGGAGTCTCCCTTACCCTATGCTGGATGGAGATTCTGGACTGCTCCCAACAGTGAAGCAGCCCTTAGACAGCCATTGGGAAGCTGCCATAAATCAGGGCAATCCCAAGGCTGCTCTAATTGACACTGGGGGCTGTTTTAGCCCCAAGAATATCCCCCAGAATACAGAGAGCTCAATTTAGGGCTTCGAAAGAATGACACAAACTGTCCTTTACTCATCTGAGACAGTTACCTTGAGACGATTCCAAGAGTCGTCAGGGGAAAGTCTGCAAATCCATACCAATAGTTCTTCCACCTGTGAGTAGCCTTTCTTCAGGTGAGAAGTCTCTTTGAGTAGGGGCTGGACTGTGACCAAGAGGTGGCATGTCAGTCACTCTAGCGCAGTGATGATTTCTGCAACACTTGCTAAGTTTTACTGAACTATTTTTTGGAATTATTAAACAAACGACAAAGTCGGGGCATATCTGTACATATTTTATGATAAAGCGACAACAGCACAGTACAAATTGTCGTCTAAATACGGGTCACGCAGGGATGGCCCGGATTCTGCAAACGTTTACACATCTGAGGAGCTTTACCCTGCTGAACAGGTCCATTGGACTCAACAGGACAGCATTACTCTGGTGCAGAAGTAGATAAGTGTTTATCAGATCTGGGTCTTAAACTACTGCAGGTTGTCTCCATTTAAATAGGCCTAGCCTTACCATCAACTGAGTAATAAAATGCAGTAGGAAATAAATCAAATCTCTAAATTATCACCAGCAAACAGCCATCATCAGGCAGTGCGGTCATGTGCCCCAAGCACTGGCTTGGGATGCGGGAGACTTGGGGCCTAGTCCCAGCTCTGCCAATGACCTACTGGGTTACCTTGGGCAAGTCACTTCATCTCAGTTTCCCCTCCTATCTTTTGTGTGTCTGGGCTACTTAGACCGTAGGTTCTTCAGGACAGATACTGATTCTCACTATGTATTTCCATGATCCCTAGCACAATGGAGCCCTGATCTCACTTGGGTTTCACTAGAGAATTACGCATCATTATGCTTGGAAGGATTCGATTTTTATCAATAAATGTTGGTGAACGACAGTGTCACTGTACTCACACAAACTGATGAAAAAAATATTTCCATGGATAATCATCAAAATTCACAGATAGGCAAGGGAAGGAAAATATTGCTGGAAAACTTCTTAGAGTTTGATTTAAGGATATTAATTTTGCATATTTTGATGTGTGATGATGACAAAGTGTTTTAACAGCTACAGAGCTTTAATTTTGAAACTCAGCATCTACTGCCATTAAATAATGATTGATCCCCCCACCCATATTGTCTGACTCATTGGAACAAACTGATAAATTAAACAATATTAAATCACCAGGGCCAGATGGCATTCACCCAACAGTTCTGAAGGAACTCAAATATGAAATTGCAGAACTGCTAAGTGTGGTACGTAACCTATCACTTAAATCAGCTTCTGTGCCAGATGACTGGAGGATAGCTAATGTGACACTAATTTTTGAAAAAAGGCTCCTGAGGCGATCCTGGCAATAACAGGCCAGTAAGCCTCACTTCAGTACCAGGCAAATTGGTTGAAATGATAGTAAAGAACAGAATTATCAGACACATAGATGAACACAATTTGTTGGGGAAGAGTCAAAGATGGCTTTTCTAAAGGGGACTCATGCCTCACCAATCTATTAGAATTCTTTGAGGGGGGTCAACAAACATGTGGACAGGGGTTATCCAGTGGATAAAATGTACTTGGACTTTCAGAAAGCTTTTGAAAAGGTCCCTCATCAAAGGCTCTTAAGCAAAGTAAGCAGTTATGGAATAAAAGAAAAGGTCCTCTCATGGATCAGTAACTGATTAAAAGACAGGAAACAAAGGGTAGGAATAAATAGTTTTCAGAATGGAGAGGATTTAATAGTGGTGTCCTCCAGGGATCTGAATTGGGGACAGTGCTGTTCAACATATGCATAAATGATCTGGAAAAAGGGGTAAACAGTGAAATGGGAAAATTTGCAGAGGATATAAGACTACTCAAGACAGTTAAGTCCAAAGCAAAGTTACAAAGGGATCTCACAAAACTGGGTGACTGGGCAACAAAATGGCTGATAAAATTCAATGTTGATAAATACAAAGTAATGCATATTGGAAAACATAATCTCAACTATACATGCAAAATGATGGGGTCTAATTTAGCTGTTACCACTCAAGAAAGATCTTGGCGTCATCATGGATAGTTGAACATGCAGCATCAGTAAAAACAAACAAACAGAATATTAAGAACCATTAGGAAAGGGATAGATAATAAGGCAGAAAATATCATAGTGCCACTATATAAACCCATGGTATGACCACCCCTTGAATACTGTATGCATTTTTGGTCACTCCTTCTAAAAATACATATATTAGGCTTGGAAAAGGTACAGAGAAAGGTACCAAAAATGATTAAGAGTATAGAATGGCTTTCACATGAGGAAAGATTAAAAGAACTGGGACTTTTCAGCTTGGAAAAGAGACGACTAAGGGGGGATAAAATAGAGGGCTATAAAATCATGAATGTTGTGGAGAACGTGAATAAGGAAATGTTATTTTCTCCTTCACATAACACAAGAACCGTGGGTCTCCCAATGAAATCAATAGGCAGCAAATTTAAAAACAAACAAAAGGAAGTATTTCTTCACACAACGCGCAGTCAACTTGTGGAGTTCATTGCCATGAAATGTTATGAAGGCCAAAACTATAACTGGGTTCAAAAAAGAATTAAGTAAATTCCTGGAGGACAGGTCCATCAAGAGCTATTAGCTAAGATGGTCAGGGATGCAACCCCATGCTCTGACTGCCAGAAGCTGAGAGTAGACCAGTGGTTCTCGACTAGGGGTACACTTACCCCTGGGGGTACACAGAGAGTACATCAACTCATCTAGATATTTGCCTAGTTTTACAACACGCTACATAAAAAGCACTAGTGAAGCCAGTACAATCTAAAATTTCATATCGAATGACTTGTTTACGCTGCTCTACATACTATACACTGAAATGTAAGTACAATATTTATATTCCAATTGATTTATTGTATAATTATATGGTGGAAATGAGAAAGTCAGCAATTTTTCAGTAATGGTGTGCTGTGACACTTCTGTATTTTTATGTCTGATTTTGTAAGCAAGTAGTTTTTAAATGAGATAAAACGGGGTACACGAGACAAATCAGACTTGTGAAAGGAGTACAGTGCTCTGGAAAGTTTGAGAGCCACTGGAGTAGATGGCAGGGGATGAATCATGAGATAATTACCTGTACTGTTCATTCCCTTTGAAGCACATGGTGTTGGCCACTGTCAGAAGACAGGATGCTGGCCTGGAGGGACCATTGGTCTGACCCAGTATGGCTGTTCTTCTTAAGATCTTCCCCCATAAATTCTCACAACTGAAAAAATGTAAAATAAAAATAGAAAAACAAATGCTTAAAATCCATAATTTTGCACAACTGTGAAAATGTAAACAAGTAAAAAATTTAAAATGCTTAAAATTAAACATGGATATTATCTGTCAAAATTAGATTAAAACCCCTGAATTCTGCTGATCCTACACATAAATAATAATAAAGTATAAATATATGTGATAACTATTATATCTGCTTAGCTTAGTTTCCTTTTTTCTGTACTACTTTAAGATCAGAAAAAGAATATGTTCTGCCCTGGTGTCCAAATTAAGCTGGTTCCTTGTAATTTAATTTCAAACCCCTTGTATGGAACAGTTATAGAGAAAGAAATGGCACTGATTTACCTACAGTAATTATTACTGTGAAACTGTACAAACAATTCTATATTCTCCACCTTCTTTATAAATCAAGTCTTGCCATTGCCGATGGCAAACTATAGTTTGCAGGGATGTATATGTTTCTTACGCAGACCTAGGCTTTGTCTGTACCATATTTAGTACAATGTGGGGTTTTGAGAAGCTGAGGTTTGGTGCATTGTAATTTCACTGCAGCTAATAAGGGACTGCCAAGGAAACACATCTTCTACTGATCTTTGTAAAGCAAACAGGGACCTATTGTACCTGAACTGTTAACTAAGTAGCCATGATATCAGAAAAGCTAGGGCAAGATCATGCTGGACTAGACATGCCAGATTGAATTTGTATCAATGTGCCTTGATTTCTCTTCTGCATTAGGAATATTCATGTTGATTACAAAGAATACAGATTATATGGATCACTTAAAAAAAAGTTTTTGCAGCTCTGATTGCAGGTCTGGCATCTGTATTCTCTCTCTTTTGAATGTATTTGCAGAGAGAAGAATATGAAGTCATAATACATCCAACCACAGACAGCTTTAAATAGCACACTAAATGCACTACCTTGTCCTCTATCTATTGTTAGTGTTTTGCGGATGAATAGGTAGATATGACAAGACAAATATAAAAAGAATTTGAAACCGTATCAGAGCCACAGCATCTAATCAAGACAGATTATACCACCAGCTTGGGAGAGGTTAAAGGCCGTGCATAGGCAGGTGGTCTGAATACCAACACTCAAAAGGAAGGGGTATAGCGTAAGGTCTTACAGCTGTTTTTAGAGAAAGTGTTTCATCGCATGACTCAGCCTACCAAAAATACAGAAAAGTACCTTCTTCCAGGCTTAGCTTTCCTTTTTTAGGAAGGCCCCTGTCTTGATTAGGGTCTATAGCCCTGGGTTTAAACAGGCACACAGCTGTGACTGATGGCACGGCTTTGTCATGCTAGGCATGAAGGCAAAAGGCCAATCTCTGCAATACATCTGCAGCAACAATGACTATTCGCAGTACACTGCCTTGACTCCAATTAGAAAATCGCCTGAGATCTGTTTTTACTTAGCTTTGCTTGATGACTCGTTAGCTTACTTAATTTAGTTTATTACACAAACAAAAGCGCAAGCATGGGGAGGTGCAGAGGTTTCTGAGTCAGTAGCCTGTTTCTTGTAAGGGTGCCTTAGAAGTGCCAAAGACGCAGTGCTGTGGTCAGTGGTGTTTCCAAATAAATCTCTCCTTGTTTCTTGGTGTGCTTGGTTTTATTCTTGATTTACTCCAGGGAGCATAGCGAGGAAAGGAAAGGGGGGAGAGAGAGAAGGCCACTGGCTCAGTTTCTGATGGGCTGCTCCTGGCTTAGTAAATGGAGATCATCAGCTCATGCACAAGTGGGCAGAGAGGCGATCACAGTTCTTAATGGTCAATAAATAAAGCATGACTCACACCTGATCTATCTAGGCGTCGCGTTGGATAGAACTCTCACATAGCGTGACCATCTCACAAAGACAGCAACTAAGGTCAAACAGGGCAGCAACCTGCTCGGAGAACCGGCTGGAAGGACATGGGGGGCCAATGCCCAATTGTTACACCACTTCAGCCTTGGCACTCTGTCATTCAGCAGTGGAGTATTGCGTTCCAGTGTGGATTCACTTCTCTCCACATAGATGATCTACATACGACTTAATTGCACCATGAGTATTATTTCAGGCACACTTAAGTCTACTCCTCTACCATGGTTACCGATTCTCTGCAATATTGCTCCACGCAGTGGTTACAGAGAGGAAAATGTAGCATAGCTCATGAAAAATTACACGATATGCCCCATCTACCATTAATTAAAGACCTGTTTAATCTACCACGTGGTCACCTGCCCTCACGTTGCCCATTGTGGATAAGTTTACCATGTGCGGGATTTACAGTAGAGGATGCTTCATGGTCTGCAGGGAAAGTGACAAATAATGATCTTGTCTCAGAGCCCACTCAGCATCAACCTGTGTCTGATTTATGATGAAGGCAGCGGGACCTTCTGACCCAGTTTCGTACTGGACATGGAATTTGTGCTGCAACCGAATTTCGGTGGCGTTTCAGAGACAATGTCAATCTGGGCAGCCACAAACTATGACTCATATTGCTGAGGACTGCAAAATGATTCAACTTCCTGGAGGCCTGAGTCTTGAACATCATTGAGGAGAACACTGTGGCTGGGCTTGTCCGGATTGCATACGCCAAATAAATAATAATAATAATACCCAACAACCATCCTTCACGCCATTGGTTAAAAGCTGATGTAAAGAGCTGTGCAGACAAAGCTATTTCCCCATCACAAGTGTTATTGATCCTACAGACCTCAGGAATTATGCCATATATTCTTGAGCACCATGTACGAGCACCTTACCTATTAACATATGCACAGACATAGAGCAGTCTTGCAGCACCTCCCTCCCCTCCACAACACTCCTCACGCACCTCACATCCGGGCCTTCACTGACATACTCATGCATGTGTCTGAGGGGAATCCTTGGGCTGCATGGCGAGGCCCTGTGGGCATGAGAAGTGGGGGAGGAGGAGTCAGGCTGCAGGATGCCACACAGCTACTTCTTGTGTGCTTTAAAATATTTTCAGTCACAATGACTTTTGGAATGAAGAGAACGATGACATTGAAGTCTTCTTGAGAGAGCACAGTGTGTATTTCTGCCTGTGACACCAATCCTCTCAGAACAAAATGGCCACCATCTTTGCACACAAGCAGAGGTCTCAGTCCCACCTCGCCTCCCAGAACACAACCCACCGGAAGGGGGTGTTCTAGGCCAATGGCAGCTCAGACCCCAGCTGCCTCCACCGGGCACTGTGAAAAGGCAGTTCGCTGGTCACAGCTTTTTGACTCCTGTTCAGCTCGACTGCCTTGACTTCCTGTGTCCACCGTCTACATATCTGGAACCATCAAGCTTCATCGGGGTGGAATTAGGCGTGGTCTTATCTCTGCTGAATCCTTTCAATTTTGGAAGCCAGGAGCCCCCTACAAGGTCTGAGAAGGAGTTAGTGACGAGGGTGGGCATCAGTAGGGGAGGAAAGAAAAGTTCACAAAAGGGAAAAGTGCCTCTGAACCACTCGTTCCCCTTCAGTCCTTTCATAAGAGGTTTAGATTGAAGTTTTATATAAACCCTGCCCCAATGGGAATCCCATCCAAAGCTCTGGGGGACCTTCACCTACACCAGAGAGATGTAAAGGGGGTGAGGTGGGGGAGGAGAATGACCAAAGTAGCAGCTATCATCCATGCTACCAATCATCATCTGAGCCCCAGTCATGTAATCAATACTGCTTAAAACCTCCACCACACGTTCGAACCAGGAAAATTGACTTAACTGTTTTTAGCCACACATCTGAGTCCAATATGTACAGAATCTTAGAGGTGTAGGGCTGGAAGAGACCTCGAGAGGCCATCTAGTCCAGCCCCCCTTGCTAAGGCAGGACCAAGTCAACCTAGACCATCCCTGACAGGTGTTTGTCCAACCTGTTCTTAAAAGCCTCCAATGAAAAGGATCCTCTCGGGCTACCCAGGATCCAAGAAGGGAGAGGCCAACCCCAAAGAGAAAAAAGATGTGCCCTTTAAATAAGGCTCCAAACCAACACCCAGCCAGCAGAGTGACTAGGGTCCTTAATGTTCTAGGAGGCAAGCAGATTTTCTCCCTTAGGCGTCAGATCAGGGGAGGACCCACTTTACTGAGTTCATAAGGCCCTTAACTTAAAGCTCTGAGTCAGAACAACTCTCCTTCCCGTTAGAAAAAACAGACTCTCTAAGGCCCAGGTTAGGCTAGCAACCTGGGGCCTGCAACCTGTAGCAGTCAACATGGCTTCTGGTCCCCCTTGCTCAGTCAGCTTCCTTGTCCCATTTCTATAGCCCAGCCCAACGGTGTGGCACGGCTCCCCGGCTGTTACAGCCATAAGCTCCAAACTACCCCTTAAAAGGACACTTCAGGCTAGGATGGAGTCCAGTTTCATCTGGACTAGGGCATAGTCTATGTTCAACTCTCCTAACTGCTTGGCTGTCTTTTTATTGTTACTCTTTTTTAGTCTCCATGCAGGTTAATAATATGCCAAATGACGAGGGTTTAATTGGAAGGTCATTCAGAAACATTACATATGCTAAACACTTACTACAAGATTGCATCTGACTAAGCAGAATTCAGGGCTTGTTACCTGCCTAGCACTTTAACATGTAATTTAGCTCTAAGTGCACAGAAAATTATTCCTTCAGGCAGATTAGTCCTTAAACAAGCATTTATTTCAGCAGGATTCACAGCCTACTTCTAAACCTGAAGATATTAGTGTTTGACTGAGGGATACATTCTTTACTATAATCCCACAAGGTGGTCTTTATTTCAGTGTGCTTAACTGTATGTGGGACTGGAAAGCAGGTTTTACAGCTTAGCAGTATTCAACTCTGACAGTATTGGCAAAAATCCATTATTTCACATTTAGGGAACATTGCTTAAAAATCAGAAACCCTCTCCCAGCTTTCTCCTGGGGCTGGATTTACTCATCTCCAAATAGTTGATTGAAGCTGGGTTTATATTTTTCACATCATCTTTCAGTTATTTCTGCCATTGCAGCATGCGGGAGTTGAATCCGGAAGCAGAGAT